AACCTTATGCAGCAAGGTAGTTCCATTTCCATCTTTCAGATTCACATTACCACCATTTTTTAAGTAGTTCTCCAATCCTTTTAGGTTACCATTAGCAACAGAAAGAAACATGTCATTCATGTTGCTCAGCTGATGCCGTCTACGCATGTTGTCTCTAATGGAGCTGAAGAACAAAAAAAATTAGAATAATTTTCATTTTTCATAGAACTACAGTTAACATAAAATTTCCAACTTATATGTCATCTAAAAAATATTTTCTAACATTAAACTGGGCTTTTTACAGGTACTACTGGGAATGGGGCCTTTCCCTTAAAGTGAATAAATCTATATCACTGCTGCCTGCAGTTCACATTGAATTCTGAAAAATAATAAATCCTTGATAGCTGTATGAAAGAAATATGTTGGTATAACTGCAGACATGCACAGATTCAGATATGGATCCAGAAATTTGCTTGTGAGGCTTGCCAGTTAAAATACGTTTTCATGCCCTAAAACAAAAAGAATCAAAACTGCATATTGAATGGTAGCTTTTGGTTCATTTTATGTGCATACATGTATTTTGATGATACATTTTCTCAGATAATTATTAAGTTTGTTTAGTCAGCCTTATTTTGCAAATATCAGTATGCACATTTTATAGAAAATATCAAAGGAAGATAAATAACACTGCGCAGACACAGACACATATCCACAAAGGGGGTTGTAACGGTGCCTGGACTCTATATTGGGGTCATTTATGACCAAAACTAGGTCCAGACCCCAAAAAAAGGTGACAATCCTTATATATAGTCTATATATAAGGATTGTCACATGTTTATTGGGTCTGGACCTAGAATTATTGTTCATTTAAAATTTAAAAGAGAAAAACCAAGACAGAAATATCAATAATAATATTTAATTAGGTTAATAAATTATCACGAATTATCACTAGATAACTGCAAAATTGGTCAACACTAATAAACTATAGAATGATATGTTAATCAATCCACAAAGAAATACTAATCATTATAAATATTTACCAAAACGCAGTACTAAAATAACTAAATGCATTAAAAACTTAATGCTAAACCAAATGGGCTAGGGTGGGTGGGCAAAAAAGACTAGAACGTGATCTCGACTACAAAATAAGTAACAGAATGGCGAGCAAAAGCAAAATAACCTATATATAGGTAATGAAACAACCTATCAAATTCAATAACAGAAATTTGAAATAATCCAATCAGCAATCTAAAAAATAAACCGTTGACCAACGAGATAAGCTGATATAACCAGAGGTCAACTCGATTCAAATAAAAACTTTATCATTCATAAGAATTAATCGATTTTAACAGGTGTATTAAAATACGCTAAATTATTGTTCATTTAAAATTTAAAAGAGAAAAACCAAGACAGAAATATCAATAATAATATTCAATTAGGTTAATAAATTATCACGAATTATCACTAGATAACTGCAAAATTGGTCAACACTAATAAACTATAGAATGATATGTTAATTAATCCACAAAGAAATACTAATCATTATAAATATTTACCAAAACGCCAACCCACCGGCCAAAAACATAATTACAAAAAAAATAAAATTGATGCATATATATAATTATACTATACAACAATAAATATGATTATTCAAAATAATCAAACAAAACACTAAAAGTTCACCAAATAAACTACTGAAAGCAGTCAAATGTCTTACGCTGATTTATCTATAAATCTCGAATACACATTCAATTTGAGAAAAAACAGTGTTCATTCGAGTTTACACACAATTCACTGAATACTGTTCTGTTTCTAGGAAAACGTCAGATACCATTTTTCTCTAGAAATAACACAGAAATCACTCATTGTCCATATTCTAGAAAAATGTCAAATACCATTTTCTCTAGAATGAATTACTCCCCAAGTATGAAATATTACTTTGTAAAGTATACAGCTGAATTCATAAATTCATAAAAAGGAAACAATAGGTAGCAAATACAAATATATGAAATCTCAATCATTCATAGAAAGAACAAAACTTTTCTAGGAAAACGTTGAAATACCATTTTCTCCAGAAATATTTTCTTCAAGGTATTAATTTTTTACCTTGGCTAAAGAAAGATAGCTAACTTGATATGAATCTTATTCAAGATAAGCACCCTTAAACAAAAATTCAAATATTAATGCCCACACTTTCCCTTAGTATAATCAATCTACAGCTTGTACAGATAATATAATACAAAACGAAATGAATATATGGATACGAATAATCCATAAGCTCCTCTCTTAAATGGGAGCGAAAGGGCACAACCTTAATAATTACATGTGAGCAACAGTATTGATAAAAAAATTGTCTTAACCGTCTTGTGCCCTCTAAGTTCAAATGTAAGCCACCATCTTTAATAGCAAACAACTCTCTCTTAGGGAGGTTGGCTTTCATGAAAGGACGAAAAGACTTCAAAAATTTGATTTTCCTATCTTTACAAATTGATTTCTAGAGTCAAATTAACCTGTTTGACCTTCGCACCAGTACTAACAAAGTCAACTGGACGAGGCAAAAAGAAGACATATAAATAGTATCAAATTGATCAGTAAAGTTTTTAACAACTGAAATTAAATTTGAATACAAAGAAGAAATTTCTCCAGCAGATGAACTATTAATGTCATTAGTACCCACATGAATAATGATATTATCATAATTCAAGTTAACTGCTCCTTTGGCTAACTTTGAAGTCAACTTTGAAATGGTGATTCCAAGGAAAGCACGAGTACAATTAAGAGAATACCAAACAAAGAGAGCACAAGGATTAACACACATATTTGTTTCACTTAAACATTAGCTTATCACTAACAGAATTTAAAATACTAATTTTATCTTGTACGGAAAGGGATATATAACGTTTATAGACATCTGAATGCCAATCACCCAAAATCTGAATTTCATCAGCAGCAATATTAGAAGCAAAGGCAAATGTAGCAAACCCACGACGAATGGAATGTGACGAAAATTTAGAAGAATCATAACCCAATTCAGAGAGAAGAGATCTTAATCTCTTTTGAAACATGTAATAAGTAACTGCTTTATCATTATTTAACACAAATAAAGGTTGATCTACACTTTTAGTAGGAATACCCTTAAGCATATGATTATATGCAGGAACAGGACATAAAATAGAAGGATACAATTTAATAATAGGAGTTTGTAACAAACGTTGGCCAAATTGCATAGTTTTAGACCATCTAAAAGTAACACAAAGATTTTCCCCAATGGTTGACACATCACCACGTAATAAAAAATGTTTAACTTCCAAATCAGCCTTTCTAGTAGGAACTAAATTTGACTTTCTAGCCACCAAGAAAAAGGCAAACAAAAATAAACATCAGAAAACTGAATCATTAGAATTATCAAAATCTAAAATACCATGAATCTGACATAAAATCAGAGGTGATATGGCTTCAGCTTGTTTGACCGAATGTTGTTTAATCCGTGTCAAACCTTTTAAAGACAAATTAACAAGAAACTGATTCAAATGATCTAATGAATATCCTAACAATAAATGCATTGATCTAACCCCACTCAGATAATTTCTAATACTATCTACAGATTTAAAAGAACGACTCAAAAACTGAGCGTATAACTGTAAAGTGTAAGTATCAGCTGGCAAAAAATTAAAATGAAAATATAAACAGAACAAAACAAAAGATTCCCATTGAATCCTCAAATTTGTTTGAGAACCAGCTGCATAAGCCGACAAATTTGCAACTTTAAGGTCGTGTTTTAACTCTTTAAGTTCTTTTTCTGAAAGAAAGAAGAAAAAGAAAAAATTCTATTCAAATAATTACCAATCATTTATAAAATGAAATAAATCATCCGGCACTGAAAACTCTCGAGTACTAACATCTCTTGTCAACAACAAAAAATCCTTTTGAAAAGTATCACTCAAATGCCATCTAGAAAAAGACTAGAACGTGATCTCGACTACAAAATAAGTAACAGAATGGCGAGCAAAAGCAAAATAACCTATATATAGGTAATGAAACAACCTATCAAATTCAATAAATTTATTAAAATACGCTATTTTGGTCATAAGGTCCAGACCCAAAAAACAGGTGACAATCCTTATATATAGTCTATATATAAGGATTGTCACCTGTTTTTTGGGTCTGGACCTTATGACCAAAACTAGGTCCAGACCCAAAAAACAGGTGACAATCCTTATATATAGACTATATATAAGGATTGTCACCTGTTTTTTGGGTCTGGACCTTATGACCAAAACTAGGTCCAGACCCAAAAAACAGGTGACAATCCTTATATATAGACTATATATAAGGATTGTCACCTGTTTTTTGGGTCTGGACCTAGTTTTGGTCACAAATGACCCCAATATAGAGTCCAGGCACCGTTACAACCCCCTTTGCATATCCACATCTCTGACAGACAACTAAAAAATTACTTCATTCAATCATTGTTGCTATGCACCCTGCACCCCTCTCAATCCTTTAGTTTTCAGTTGATTCTGTACAGAACCGATGGAAAAACTTACTTACACACATTACATGATGTGGCTTCGCTTGATAATGCGCTAGGAGTTACTTAAATTATGTATTTTGTTAGATTTATAGTGTTAGTTTTTTGGTAGGTACAAATGGTGTACATATCATGAAGGGAAGTAACTCGCACTGTTCGGAATGGAGCAAACAAATACTTCTTTGATATCAAAATCGAAAGATTATTGATCAGACAGGGTTTATGGAGTTTAGATCTCAGATACATGCGTTGTGTTGATAAAATTCCTAGGTGCCTGTCTGATCTCATCGAGATAAGAAACATTCATTTTAATTCATTTTTTACATGAATTAGATCTATACTGTACTGGTCGGAGACGCATAGATAATAGTTATAACTTATAACCAAAGACATACTGTACACGGGGGAGGAAGTGTTACACGAAGGATGGAGTTCTTATGATAACTTGTTTGGAGTTCTTATGATAACTGTCACGGAGTTCCTGGAAAACGTTACGGATTTCTGTGGAAAACTTTTCTATATACTTAGAGAACTCGCGTAAAAAATGGTTATTTTTAACTTTAAATGGGGAGTTTGAGGTGCTAAATTAAACTTTGATAATTAAGCTTGCCCTACATATTTTAGTCCATATTTCGTCGCCGTTTAAAAAAATCTGGTAGTTTTGAGAAAAATTTCCAAATTACTTGCTAATTCGTACATATTGACTTTTTCATTTGTGATCTTCTTCGTTGCTATACATAATCACCTAATTATAGTAGAGAGTTGCAAACATAAAGCCCGGGCTAATAAATGTATACCCGATTTTTCAAATGTTACGGAGTTCGTGTGATAACTCAAAATATGTCCTGGAGTTCTTATGATAACTTTTGTTACTGCCAGTGTGTTTCTTGTGCTTAATTACGGCACGTTTAAGCCTATTTTATTAGTCAATATAAGTGTGTAAATCATTATGAAGCATAGTACGCTTATCATTTGCACAAAAATTTGGTTATATAACGTTGGTTTTGATCGTGTTTTAGTTCCTAATCAAATTTGTGCGAAATCATATTGACATTATAAAACCCAACGAATGCACTAAATGTTTCTGTGTATACTGTTCGTCAACAAAAGTTTTATGTCATAAGTTTCCGCAAATGCAACAGTGAGGCCACGTGGCAAAATTAAAACATGATCAATGAATATATCTGGAGAAGACATGAAACTGCTTTGGTGTACAGTCTACATAGGATAAACAGGTGCTAAGTTATATCTTCAGGAACGACCGCCTCCGTGGTCGAGGGGTTTGAGTCGATGACTTCTAATCCAGTTACCTCTCTGGCGTGGGTTCGATCCCCGGGAGATGCTTTGGTAGTTTAGCACGGAGGAAGGTAGTCTAGTACTGGTGTAACTCTCCAGGAACGATGGAAACTACCCGCCCATATGACTGAAATACTGTTGGGAAAAGGCGTAAAATGAAACAAACAAACAAACAAAATTCTTCAGGAAAACCTGAATCAGCGGTCACCTGTATTCAGCAGTAACATGGCTTAAACCGCCAAGGAAAAAATATTTAAAACTTACACTTTTTTTCTCAGATAACTTGTTTTAAGCAACCGCCTTTCTAAAACAAACAATAAGTAGTTGGGCTTCCCTCAAGAAGCGGCTAAGTAAATTGTATCATTATATACCATGTAACGTATATAACCGGGATATCCTTCACACCCATGCACCCGAAATGTATGATCTTTTTATGAATAAAAAATCAACCGATTACTACCGATCTCTTCGACAGATTTGCACGTGCCCTACGTGTTCGAGCGAAAGAAGTTCGACAATATATTTTTGTAATCAATTACAGCAAAAGTTGTTGCAAAATTTCCACTAGGACTCCAACTTTGATAAGAAAAATGTATGCAGTAATTTTCCGAAATATGGAAATTGCTATACGTCACGTGATGCTACATTGGATTTAATAGAGAAAGGAACAAGATCGATAAACGGCATGAACCTTACGGTGACTCACATATCTTATTAAAGACTTACTTTCTATCGTCATATCATTGTCATAGAACTTTCAAAACCAACGTTATATAACCAAATTATTTTGCAAATGATAAGCGTACTATGCTTCATAATGATTTACACACTTATTGACTAATAAAAATACACTTAAACGTGCCGTGATTAAGCACAAAACAAACTGGCAGAAACAAAAGTTATCATAAGAACTCCAGGACATATCTTGAGTTATCGCAAGAACTCCGTAACATTTGAAAAGTCGGGTATAAATTTATTAGCCCGGGCTTTATGTTTGCATCTCTCCATAATTATTAGGTAATTAAGTATAGCAACGAAGAAGATCACAAATGAAAAGGTCAATATGTACGAATTAGCAAGTAATTTGGTAATTTTTCTCAAAACTACCAGATTTTTTTTTAAAAGGCGACAAAATATGGACTTAACGATTTTTTCTGAAACAAAATACAATATGTAGGGCAAGCTTAATTATCAAAGTTTCATTTAGCACCTCAAACTCCCCATTTAAAGTTAAAAATAACCATTTTTTACGCGAGTTCTCCAAGTATATAGAAAAGTTTTCCACATAAATCCGTAACGTTTTCCAGGAACTCCGTGACAGTTATCATAAGAACTCCAAACAAGTTATCATAAGAACTCCATCTTTCGTGTAACACTTCCTCCCCCGTGACTATATGATACTTTAAATATAATGAAATTTTGTCAAAATTAATGAAGAAAATTCTGTCCTTGAATTTAATATCGATCCATCTTTACAAACAAAATTTCATATCTACTTAAGGTTTAAAATAATTCAAAATCACTTTATAGTGACCAAACCATGTTGATTATTTGCACCAACCCTGTGTACAACAGGGGCGTAGCCAGCTTTCTTCACTTGTAGGCACTTTAAAGGGGGACTGGGGGCTTAGCCCTCAGAGACCAAAAGCAAGTTCAGATTAAAAAGAGCAAAATACACGTTCCAAAGTATATTCAAGGAAAACTATCAAAACAATAATTTTAAACTATGAATTTAATTAGATTCAAACTTTACTGAAGATGGTAAATCATGCACACAACTATACGGCTTGAACCCACTACCAACCCCACCCTCGCCTGCTTTTATTGTATTTTTGGGACTTTTGAAAATGTCAATTTCTTGACCAACTTGTAGGCCTGTGCCTTCATGGCCAAATAGTAGCTATGCCACTGTACAATTCCTAGAACATTTCAGTACTAATTCTTCTGGTTTAACAATTTTTTTTTTGCAACGTTCACCTAACCTAGTTTCCTGGATAACTAGCCAGTAATTACCAATTTCTCCATATATGACCGACTACTAATCCCTAAATATTTCTGAATAAACAGTGCCAGACAAATAACATATGAGACACAATGTCCGAGATCAACAATCACAGAAAATTTGTCTCAGCGGAGGATGGACCCACTGACACCAGGCCCCTCAGGAAAAAGTATTACAACCTCGAGGCCAGGGTTTCTAAAACGATGATCTACGTATTGAGTAAAGTCAGGGGACGAGGTTTTAAACATGGTACATGTATGATGTACTTTTAAGAGCAGTTTATTTACTTGCCTTTCTAAAGAGAATCAGGTATATTCACAACCAATCTTTTCTAACACATTACATCTACTTTAAAAACCATGGTCAGATCTACAATTGGAAAAGAAATGTTACAACCTATGTAGCAACAAGGTTGTTATTTCTTATGAGGCATACCTGTAGCTGATATGTAAATAAAATATTAAAAAAAAACAAAAAACTTTGCTTACATAAAAAAAATTACATCAATAATGCTTGTAAAATATTATTTGTTTAAAAATTCATATGATATAAATTTACCACTATTATATGGATGCACACATAATTACATGATGTAAATCACTTTAAAGATTCAAATTTCAGAAAGTTTAAATATTGTTAGATAATTCAGTTATTTACTGGGTTTTGTTTATTTGTTTGATTTAAAGTCATATCAAAACTATAAAGGTTATAACTATGGCAATATTCCAGGTTCACAGCATAAGACCTTAGGTGCCTCTTCCAGTCTTATTTCAGGCACAAGCAGGTACCCAGGTAGAACCATCAACATTCCATATGCTAGCCTGATAGCTTCCTTACAAAGTCATTGATTATTTAAAACCCACAGTGGTAATGGGCAAGTGATATGAATTTGGTAACCTAATAATCACTTCACACATCATGAAGATGGAAAACAAACCAATTACGGTACTGAAACCATAAATTGTTTAGCTTTTAACATGTAAAATAACACAAATACAAGATTTATTTCTCCCCCTCTGCTTTTATCATGGCTTGGGACATGCTAGTTGTTAAAACTGCACACATCCAGGTATATTGTTTTACTAGTTCTACCAGTTATTAATGCAATAGTATTATGTACTGCTTAAAATTTTCTAAATAACTTCATATCTCAACATTTGACTAAATCACAGGACATTTAATAATCCCTATTACGACAATATGAATCTGGGAATGTGCTGTTATAAAACTAGACAGCATTAGGAGAAGTGTAGGGACTGTCAAACATTTGATTGAAGTTCTGAATAATGCTTTAAGTCAGTCACTGTACATGGTAAGGTTTAGATAGTCACATGTTTTTGGTTTTGCTACACTTCTCCCCCCATTGAAGGGCCTAAGAGCTTATATCAAATGTCCCTGTCTGACCAATAACCGGAGAACGTTTTGGTCTAAGGTAGGACCTTAAAGTTATTCATATAGTTAAAGTCAATTGGTCAAAAAAGCCTGTCCAATCAATTATTAGGGAAAGCCATGGCCTAGTTGCAGACTCAGGTAATGACTAGTAGGTCATTGTTATCAAGGTAGAGTCAAAGGTCAATGCCATCACAATGGCTAGTCAGGAACAATTTGGCCAAGTTGGACAAGATGGAGAGGGTTGACATGACTAGTAAGTCATTTATATTAAGGTAGAGTCAAAGGTCAATGTCATCACAAAGGCTATTCAGGAAACAATTTGGCCAAGTGAGACAAGATAGGGAGGTTTGTCATGACTAGTTGGTCAATGTTTGTCAGGTAGAATCAATGGTTGATTACTACAAAAGTTTGTCTCAGGTCAGTAAGTGAAGAGCACTTTGTTACAATAAGAACAGCTTGTAAAGATGAGTTAGTCAGAAAGAAAGTTAAAAGTCGAAAAACTGTCTTGTCTGCACTTCCCTACATGGAAGTACTAGGATGGGAAAATGCAGACAATCAACAATCACAGATGCCAAGATACCAACTATGTTTTCAAATATTTCAATCTTTTCTCCGCCAAATTATCTTCCTTTTTATTCATTCATTTTCACTTCCAAATTTCATTTTATTTCATTCTCTTCTCACAAATATCTATCATTCTCCAGTTCTTTCCATTTCCTGGAAGCCAATTAATTTTTTTCAATTCCAATTTTCATGTATATTTTTCCCCTTTTCATTTACTTGTAATAGAAAGAGCACCGAAACACGAGGCTATCTGATTTGTACGAGGGGGCGTTGCCCCCGAGTATTAATCAGATTGCCGAGTGCTTTGGTGTTCGTTCTCTTTTGTATCATAGTCAAACATAAAAGCACGTTCCCTGTTGTCACAATATGAAACCCCGGCAAATATTAACCAATGAGCGAACATCTGAATATGACATTTCTGTCGCTTTCCCTTTCTCTGCCGTCACAATATGTAAAACCCAGCAAAATGAGCCAATCAATGGGCATGCTCTGGAGTGCGGGTAACTAATACCCGCACTCCAGTTAACGCA